TTAATGAGCGTTCACGGTGTCAAAATTCATAATTTTCCTTCAACACATTTCGGAAATATTTAAAGAAAAATAATTTTTTGAGGCCCCATTTAAGGGAGCGTAGCTCCCTTGGGAAGCATTTCTCAACCATTGTTTATATGAAAAAATATTCTTATTTTTGGCAATAGGATCAAGTAGTATATTATTGGACACTAATTGAGACACCCGGTCTATGTATACTTATAACTAATTTTTTTATGCTATAGATTTCATTGACAATAACACCGTTTTAGAAGTTAATTATCTTCAGTCGCGTTTCCCAAGAAATATCATTCATCTAATACTTAAATTTTGAATTCTGAAAAAAAATTTATAATCCAAAATATTTTACTTTTTCTCAATTGCCAGATCAAATTAAAATGATTTAGAGAAAAAAATTACATAAAGTAAGATTATGATACAACATCTGAGGTATAACATTTTCCTTACAAAATGTGAATAAACAAATACATAGATTCGATTTCTTACTCTATTTATTTATGTATTTCCTGTTAGTCTGTGAAACAAATTCATTTATTTTTTAATTTTTTTCACAGGTGGCAAAATATCCAATTACTTAATTAGAGAAAGAAACTAGTACTATGCCATAGATAAGTAAGTTGATTCAAATAGATCTAAAAAATTAATTTTTTGAAACATAGAAACTAGGAACTACTCATATGTATATCTAAATTAAAGAATATGAGAAACTGAAGACGTATCTTTATAATTAGTAGCAAATACAATACTTAAATGTACGACAATTTATTGAATAACAAAGTTCAAATAAATGCTATTTCAAATCGTTAACCCTTTAGATGCAAGCATATTTTATTCTGTGACTGTCAAATTTAAATAAATATAATATGCTAAAAGTAAAAGTTGTTTTGTTTAACAATACCTAACATTTTCACTTGTGCTCATTACTAGATTGTGTTTTAAAAACGATGCAACTGTATTTACCTTTATAAATATTTAACCAGCTTTTGATTATTTTTTTAAACATACAGTTACATTTAACTGTTTTTTCACAAACAAACTATTCCTCCGAAAACTAATAATGTGTATAAAGAAATATGTATGCAAAAATGTAATACCTTTTTTAACATTAGTTAATATCATCGTAACCAATAGAATCGCTTGAAATTTTCACTACAACATATGTATCGTTGGCGTAATCTCTCTATTTAGAAGCTTTATTAATTAACAGACATTAACTACGTAAAACGGTACAAACTTTATTGAACATCCCAGCTTCATTTGTGGCAGTGAATAATAATAAATGATAACGAAAGTTAGCTAGGTACGTGACACAGTGAATTCTGCATCATTGAACCTAAAGAACAACACCTTCCTTAAATTTCTGCGCTTGCGACACACTCTGTATAGATGATATTGGTAGCTGCGCTTCTGGGTTGTAACGCCAGGAGAAGACGCACAGGTCACTTTTCTATCCGGAGAGCATATGTTGAAGGATAATCGAGATTCTTGCGGCACGTACTGCCGTTTCAATTTGCAATTTTAAAGCCCGGAAACAAGAACATAACTTCAACTTTTAAATTTTCACATTCGTTCAAACGAAAAATGTTTTTCATTTTTTCCTTAAATATATCCTTAATAAGCATATAACAATAAAATAGTCGTGTAAGTAAAATCAGACAAAAGCATGTCTAATTGTAACAACAAGCATCTAATAGGAGTTACAAATATAACAATACAACAACGTTGAAGACACAGTTGTATTGGACCAATCAAAACTGATAGTAAAACAATTGCTCTATGAACCTTCCATGATGAGATATGAAGCATAGCCAAGGTACAATGGAATTAACAGTTACTTGGAATCTTCTAGTCAGTAGTAAAGCAAATTAACTGATTTTCTTTTACAATTTTATAGCATCAGCTACTTTCCTTTTGACAGAAATTTGAAATAGCCTTAAATAACACAGCCACACAAAAAAGTTGTCTGTACTTTTCATGCGACATATGTTATCCGAAATATGTTTGCCTCCTGGTCACGAATCCGGTGTCAGAATTGACACACATCACAGAAATTTCCTAACCTCAAAAAACAGGTCAAAAATAGCAAAAATTCACGAAAAAGTGCTAGGGAAAATACAATTTTTTTTTTTATATTCAAATGTTCCTTTATAAGGTTAAGACCCCGCCTAACGTGAATCTGCTGTCAGAATTGACGGTTCTTTTTCTAACCTCAAAAAAAAAACAGGTCAATTAAGGTCGGATATCACGAATTTTCAAAAAATTACAGATTCGCTCCAAATTTTGTATACTTACAGGAGTCGCTGATCACGGATCCGAGGTAAATTTTGCAAATTTCAAGATGCCGGATCCAAGATGGCCGACCAAATTTTAAAAAAATCTGATCACGAATCTGAGATCAGATTTACAAAATTCGTTTGAAAAATTTAATTAATTACATGTAATTTATTGCATGAGATTAGGCAGAAAACTCGTGAATAGATCTTTTATAGAAACAGAAAAGAACAAGAAAAGAAAAAAGAAGGTTAAAACATAATGAGGTACTCAGGTTATAAAGTAAACAAAAATATTACAAACTGAATTTCGCAATTCTGACCTTGAATTCGTAATCAGCGTCCCCGAAAACCCACGTATACCAAATTTGACGTGAATGAGTTATTTTTTGAAAATTTAGTCGGCCATCTTGAATCCGCCATCTTGAATTTTGCAAAATGACCTCGGATCCGTGATCAGCGGCCCAGAAAACCCTGGATACCAAATTTAGCGCGAATATTTTTTGAAAATTCGTGATATCTGACCTTAATTGACCCGTTTTTTTGAGGTTAGAAAAGGAACCATTAATTCTGACCGTGGATTCACGTTCGGCGGGGTCTTAGCCATATAAATGAACATTTTTTGTATTTTTCATAGCACTTTTTCGTGAATTTTTGTTATCTTTAACCTGTTTTTTGAGGTTAGGACATTCCTGTGATTTGATAGTTCAATTCTGACAACGGATTCGTGATTAGGAGGCAAAAATACTATGGTTAATGTCCCATGAAAAGTACAGACTACTTTTTTGTGTGGCTGTGTTATTAAATAAAAAATTACAGATTGCTGAAATTTATTCCTAGTATTCAATATTGCTGAATTTTTCAGATATTGGTGATAGATAGGAGCAATCGTAACAGAATACGACAGAATTAAAGATATAGTTGTATATTTCCTTAGTTAAGTAAATACTAAATCAATTTACGGAAAATACAGATACCATATCAAATACGATTTGTTAACTTCCATATAGAAATAATTAGACTTGAAATAATCTTTGACTAGACGAAAAATAGAAATAACCTCAATTTAATGTATATTCACTGTAATTCAGGGCGACAATAAGTAAAATAAAAAATATATTCTTTTACAATCTAATGCTTAAAGCAACTGTTCCTTTCGAAGTGAACATTATGATCTTAGTCGGGTAAATTGATATCTAACCTTAACGATTAAGGATAAATTCTTAAGTGATGCATCAACGGAAAGCAGGTATAATCGCGTTTTTTTTACTTGAGGTGTATTCTGAAAAAGAACAAAAACAAACATTTCAGACAGAAATGTACTTACGAAAGATTATTCTTCGCAGTCATGACAACTGGAATCTGTAATCATTGTCCGGCAGCTACTTTTAGTATAGTAAATGTATATAACTACATTATCAGAAAGCTGCCGTTTTCCTTTTAATTTGATAAAAAAAATTAGTTCCCTGTTTCGTTATTAAATTAAAAGTTAAGGAGGAATTTCAAGGATTTTTTACCATGGATAAGATTTTAAACATATCAATGAAAATTTCTAATGTTCCACTGAATAATATTTAAAAAAAAAATGAATTAACAATAGAAGATGTATATATGTATAACCAAATATATATAGTATATATATGTATAACCAAATTATTAATTATTAAATTAATAGATGTATAACCAAATTGTTTTATAAGGTTAACAGGTCAATTTAAATAATGCACCAACCCAAATAAATTTATACAAAAGTCTAAATCGTCTTCTTTTTGTTGTTAAATATTTAAATTACATCCATAAAGTATTATAGTTATTATCTTGACCAGCTAATTTAAACTAATTTATAGGTAAGTATCACCATCATTTCGTTTAAAGTGGTTAAGGTTGTCTTATTGTGAAACATACTGACATTACCTTTCTTCATCTATATTGCCGTTTTATTATCTAAAACTCTTAAGGCAAAATATTTTAGCCTCGTTTAATTACATACATTTGACGAAAGATCAAAATTGCTTAAAGTTATTCATGGATATCGAACTATGCGTAATAACAGTCCAGTATTCAGTCTATTTCGAGATGATCGGCTAGGAAGGTATTTGAAATATTTTATTATACATTCCAATATTAATTGAGATCGTTTTCTCAGTGATCCTTACATTGTACTTAGTTGAAAATTTTAAATAATTTGTTCGGACCATAAATGAGCAACAATAAAAAGTGTCGATTAGCTAAGTAATTAATAACAGCTAATTAAAGTTGAAGAAACCACAATTAAAACACAGACAAAAATCTACATACCGAAATTCCAAAGAGGATATAAATGTTAATACATAAAAATTGTATCGGCACATTCTTTAGTGATACATAGTACATTAACAATTTGGTTTGCAATATAACATCTAAATTCTAAATATGCTTAGAAAAGTTTTTGTCACCTATTCCATATAGGGCACAACTCCAAAGTGAATATTAGAATTATTGAAATAAGAAAAAAATGCAGAACCATACAAATGCCAAACACTAAATTATGTCACTCAATCGTCTAATGTTTTTCTTAATCAAATTGAATTTACCATGAACTGAACAAAATTTTAAAGACTTTTGACTTACAAACACTTAGTTGCACATCCAAACACAACAATTAAAAAAAGATGTAGTGACACATTCTAACTCAATAATTATAAAATGGGATATCATCAGACGACTTACCTAAAGTAGAATGCAATAAAGCAGTCACCAATATCGTGATGCCACTCCAGGTCATATTCGTCGCTTCATTGGAGTTTAAAACTCAACGGATTCCTCATTAGAGTCATTCCTGAAAAAATTCATAGAACTGAGTTTCTACATAGTAGTAAAATAAGCAATACGTAAATCACAGGACTTGGCATTCAAGGATCCAATCAAACCATTCTTACGGAACAATAAATGATTGGAATCAGCGACATTTTGATAGCTTCTGCATAAGTAGTCACGTGTAGAAACTGCAGTTTACTTTTTAATATGTTGTATACAACTACCTACAAGGAAATAAAAAGTAACCGTGACACACATTAGATGAATGTTCTGTGATGCACTATTTATTGAATCGTTTCAAGGGTAATGCATCTGTAGACAGTCGGTTCATGGATTTTTTTCTACCGCTCACTGTTCGGTCAACAGCAATACAAACATTTCATGGTCATTTTGAATTAGAATTGAAAGATTGTCATAGAAAAATAAAAGTAGTCATAGATGTTTGCACAAATTGAATTGTCTGAATTTATTTTACATAGGTACGGTGTGGAATCTTTGGATTAGCACAGATATTTTTGCTGTGCGAATTGTACAGGTACAGTGCAATTAAATGAACCTTTAATTCGGTCAAATTTTGGTCAACTTGCCTGAATTTTGTATAAGTTAGTTTGAGGTATATAATAACAATAAGTGACAGTAATTTGTTTTCCAATCCCCGAAATGGCTAGAAAAAAACGTTTTTAGAGTAGATTGAAAAATATACAGGGTGTCGCATTTATTTATCGTCGTGAATATGCAGTCAAACGTTGTCGGTGAAATTTGCGGACACCCTGTATACCTATATACATAAAATTCATTCATTTTTCTGCTTATGATCTTTTTAAATTTATGAAATCATCCCTTAACTTCTAGCCACCCTAACTCTGTCAATTTTAAGAAAAAGTCAATAGACCATTTTTATGCAGAGTGTTATGCTCTACAACTTTTATAAGAAATTTTTTTCTAGCTCTTACCCTTTTGAGTTATCTTGAAAAACACTTGTTATTATTATATACCTCAAACTAACTCAAAAATTCAGGTAAGTTGACCAAAATTGTGATTTGAACGCCCATTTAATTGGACTATAAGTGACTAGTTCTATTCTTTTCTTGAAATGCTGTAAGCAATTTCTTTAAAAATATTGATTTATGTTGAGGCGGTCGTTGGACTGTCAATATTTTTTTACTTCTTATGGAGACATTGCAACAATGTGAGCTATTTCGTTACACTTGTTGGTTATCCTTGACTTCCTTGTGAATGAACAAATAAAATGTTAATACCATAATACTACAAGAAATTTTTTTTACCGGTGTTTACATTTATTTATAATTTAATTTGTCGATCTATAAATCTCTAAATATTTTGAAATAATAAGAAAATGTGTTCAACTGATGACTAAATAAATGGCTGTTTGTTAAGAGTTAATGACAACATTTTTGTCTAAAATACTAAAATAGATTTCGTAAAATACGTTATTTGAAAGGATCTATTGACTACGAACAGTATAAAATTTCAAAACACTTGCTTCATGTTGAAGACCAATCGGAATTAAATCAATTTCAGGATCAGCTTATACGCACTAGTAAAATCATTATATAAAACTGTTTTATATTACGCAGTCAATTATTAATTTTTTTATTTGTATCAGAGAGCTCATCACTTACCGTGACAAATTGCGTCGGTGCCTCAACAAACTTATTTCTTCAAGAACGTTTAGACTAACGATATAAATAACGAAAGTGGATTATTATAAAACAGTTTCTAAATGTACTGAGCTATAACTTAAAAAGCGAAATTTATAATTATGGTTAATAAGAAGAAATGAAAGTGTTAAGTCGGAGAATCGCTATTATATAAAAAAGATTTGTGGCATGAATTATTGCAATAGGTTAATATACTAAGTTATTTCAATGATTCGCACGCAATATTAATTAGATTAAGTACAACTTTTGGGGAAATAAAAAAGAAATTAAGATGTACAGAGTGTCCAATTAAGTCGGCGCCATATGGGAAACTTTTTTATTATTGGTTTTATGAAAAAAGTTATTCTTGATAAAAAGTTCTGCATGGCTTAAAACCCAAAATGAAGTAATCAGATTCAATTTTTTTTCAGTCGTATACGAGGTTTGTCGAAAAATGTAAATTTTGCTCAAGAGTAAAGTACTCTTATTTTTTACAATATCGACAATCGTTGTTAAAAAAGTTGATTCTAATAAAGAACTTCGGTCAAATATCCAATATCATTAAAAACACAGATTTTGTTATTTTTACAAACTCTTCTCTGCATTAGCATTGATAATTTACGTCTATAGATCAACATCAAATCCAGGAGGCACTGGCAAACCAATGAATTCAACACAATAAATGTTTTGTGAAAATTAAATTATAATTTATTTGATTATTTCCTACTATGTTTATACCCAAGAACTATTAAAGATTGTTTTTAATGGTAGATGAATAATATTGGGTATCTGACCGTAGGATCAGATACCATTTCCATTAGGATCAACTTTTCTTAATAACGATTGTAGATATTGTAAAAAATAAAGGTACTTTATTCTTCAGCAAAATTTACATTTTTCGACAAACCTCGTATACGACTATACAAAATTGAAATCTGAATACTTAATTTTGGGTTTTAGGTCATGCAGAACTTTTTATCAAGAATAACTTTTTTTCATAAAACCAATAATAAAAAAGTTTCCCATTTGATGCCGACTTAATTGTACACACTGTATTAAAGTAAGAAGTAATTTTCTGTTACAGAGACTTCATAAATGTTTACAAGCTATGTGACCGCCGAGATTAGGCAACAAGCGTTGCAAGGCTGGTACTGATGACGAAAAATCCCTAAATCTTGGCGTCATCAATATTAATGGTTCGTTTACAATGAACAATGACAAGCCGTTACGTCTACGTTCGAGATAATGCGAACGCTGATTGGTTGAATAGAATATCGTGTAGAATTACATCAATCACAGCCATGTAATCTTGATATTATTGTTTTAATAATTTTACCGAAATTTAATTACCAACATCAAGAGAATAAAATTGCTGCTCCAAACAAAATTACTGTTTTATAGTACTTTCATTTTAGAATGTGTTTCTTCTCTATGTCCCTTAATCTCAATAGTCTAACTTTTGAAGTTATTTATTTACTTAAAATATATAATTACGTTTTAAGTCTTCATTTCTTTTATTAGGACTAATTATAATTATGAACAATTACAAAAGGAAAAAGAAAACAGTGAGAACTGTAGATAACATGTATATGAAAAATAATAAAATAATAAAATATACAAATTAATAATTTTTTACATCTTGTAAAATGAAAAAATCCAATTGACAAACCAGAAATGATATCATTATAACGATATTTGATATACTAGTTTCTTTCTAATTTTGTTTACTCCAGATTTTTTGTATTGTTCTATTTTCTTATTTCCCGGATTTCCACATTGTTCTTCCGTAGCTTACATGTTACGTAAGTGGTCAATAACATTTCAGTTATAATAATTTACATGGAATTATTTTATTCTAATTAATACTGGTTATATTTCAAGCGAATAGCGAAGATTGTTCTAAATGATACTTGCTGTAACTAGTTTAATAAATAAATGCATCTGTATTTAAAAATTTGCTTTCACTACACAGATTTAAATTAACCTATATATGTAAATCAGAAAACAATTTAATAGTTACTATTTATGTATTATATAAAAGTGACATAAATTCAACGTTAGTTACCGGTGTATTTAAACTTTCTTAGAAAGTTTTCACATAAAAAAAAACAACAAATAATCTTGCGCCGCAGGTGGTGCAACTGCTATTTATTTTAACAAATTCTTCAACTGGATATTAAACACGGTGGGAATGACTGTTGCTTTTAATTACTACGTAAGGTATAAAATATACTGGGTGTCCCAGAATAAGTGGGCAATCTCTCGGATTTATAAAGGGGACGTTAAAATAACATGAGAAGTTCCTATAAAAATTCTCCCTAAAGGGCTCCCCTACGGAGATACAGACCCCTGGATGCACCTGAAAATCGATTTTTTTTAAATAACTTTTAAAGTACGTTATGTAATTTAACTATTTTTTAATACGATGGACAACAGATAAGACTCTTTAAAAATTGACCCATGAAAACAATTTAGCTTATTTGGTTTGCCAGGGACGGACTTTATTCCTCGGATTTATTTTATTTACCGTAAAGGAATTTACGTTTGCTGAATATGCCGACATGCATTTATTGTATGGACTTGTAATGCCTTAGAAGCCAGAAGGCTTTATGAGGAACGATTTCCAAATTGAAGATTTCCTGACAGGAAAACACTTTTGAAAGAGTGGATCAGCGTTTAAGAAAGATTGGTAAAAATTATTTATTTGTTACTTGCATTACCGTACTTTTTGAGTAGATAGGTAATATGTAGAATTAAAATACTGCCAAACACAATTGTGGAAATAAAATCAATCGCGGCTGAAGTGCATATCCTAAATGCCTTGGAAGCAGATCCTTCAAAAAGTGTCCGGAAATTGGCTGTCCAGTTTAATTGCCCAAAATCTACGGTTCTTAGAATCCTCAAAGTGCAAGAATTACATCCCTATCGCATACAGAAAGTCCATACACCTCTTCCTGTAGACTTTCCGCGAAGGATGGAGGAATGATTTCAAATTAGCTTTCAGATAGGTACTGTAACAATGCAAATATCATCAAATGTCCAACAGCGTTAAGTCGCTTGATCCGGGCGGCCAATTCTGATCACCAAAATAGGAAATTCCACTACCAGGAACTAATTCATGCTGTAATTGAATTTTTTCTCGGGCTGTATGAGATGTAACACCATCTTCTTGAAACCACATGTCGTCTACACTCATATCTTGCAATTTAGGTACAAAAAACTGGATTATCGTGTCACGATAGCGAGCACCGTTAACTGTAATAGCCTGACCAGCCGCATTTTCGAAGAATATTAGTCCGATGATGCCTCCAGCCCAAAATCCGCACCAAACAGTGATGCTGTGGATGCATATGTTTCTTAA